TCAATTCGATAAAACATCTCATGCTAAGGTGTATCAACCAGGTACACTTGTGTGGCTAAAATTACATAGAACTTCGAAGGCAGGTAAACGCCAAACGAAAAAGATACATCTACTATATGATGGTCCATACAGGATAAATCGCGAGGTAAGAAGAAACGCGTACCTATCAGAACGATTAACAGGAGAACCTGTTGGAGTATATAATTCACGACAATTGAGACCCGACAGACAGGCGAAGTTACAACCTACAGACGATAATAGTGAATTAGATAACGATCAGTTACAATTTGACGACCATTAGGACATGAATAATGATTTTGAGAGAGAGGAACAAATAAGTTCTCCAAGAATTGGAGATCCCGACTTCAGATGGGATTAATATAACGATTACTACGAAGAGAATATAGGACCTAACGTATTTGGGAATGTAGACGAGGAGGAACGCGAGAGCAATGTACAATTTGACCAGGAAAACGAAATAGGTCATATAGAAGACGACTTATGTAGTACTATCGACGACGAGGATGAAAATGAGGAAAATTATAATAATGAAGATGAACCACCATACGATTGGCAATTTTATGATTTTAACAAAGAAACTATTAAAAATGACAACGAAAACGATAACGAAGATGAAATAAGAAATGGCGAGGAGTCGCCAGATAAGAGTAATGATTCACCAAGAATAGGAGATCCAGATTTCAGATGGGACCCATACGATAGAAATGAAGAAGGGTTCTTAGGACCAAATGTGTTTGGAGATAACGATAATTTAGACAAGGAAGTTAGATATGGCGAGGAGTCAGGAGATTCCGAGTATGGCGAGGAGTCGCTAGAGGAAAATAAGCCTAGGGATATTTACAGCTATTTCGACAATTATAGTAGCGATGACGAACCCGACACGCGTAGCGAAACGCGAACGAATAAGAATAATGTAGGTTCCCTTTTAGACGGCGAACTTAGTAATAAGATCCGAGATAATGATAGTATATCGATTTCGAGCGAGGAATCATTTTTCAATAACAAAATACAAAATAATAAGAAAAACGAGATGATAAGTATATCAGATAGCAAACGCGAAGAAATAATAAGAAACGCGTTAATTCGAAAAGTTAAATTACAAAATACAAGCAACAGCGAAAACTCATATGAGGAGATTACGAACAAATTAACAAATGACTTAAACATTAAAAACGGTAGAATAAAATTAGAAGATAGATCAAAACACATGCAATTAACGAACGACGAAGCAGTTAGGCGTGATGTAATAGTCCAAGTAGCCAAAGGAAACAAATAACTCGTTATTATACCACTGCAAATATAGATACGATAGATCCACCGAGGATAAATGCCCTAAATGTAATAGCAATGTTGCAAAATCACCCAAAAT